GTATACTACCACTTTCTAAGGATCTTCCTCAGTGGGCTTATACTATTGCTCTCCCCATTCTGAAAAAAATGTCAGCTCACTTAACATCTGTATCAGTTGGAAGATATGAAGGTAAGTTTGAAGCCTTTTGGGCTTCTTGGCTGCAATATACTATTTATAAGGCAGAGGTCATGATCAATTTTTTTGAGCCCACTTTAGGTTCAAACTGTACCCTTAACTACAAGACACCCAAAGATACTTTATAGGCAAAGTGTGAGTGGCTGATTATCTTGAAGACAGGCAGCTGGATATCTAGATGCTCACACCTATGCACTATAAAAGAGTGTAGATTATGCTCAGTTATATGCCTTGGATGTTTTGTCCCCTCCAAATCTCATGTGAAATGTGGTCCCCAATGTTGGAGGTAGGACTTAGTTGGAAGTGTTTGGGTCATGGAGGCAGATCTCTTACAAATGGCTTGGTGCCTTCCCCATGTTAATGAGTTCACATGAGAGCTGGTTGTTTAAAGGAAACTAGCTTTTCACTCCCTTCTCTAGTAGTCCTGGAAGTTTCCGTTTATTTCTTTTGGATTTACTACTTTTAGACCCATTCAAGTCAAGACAGGAAGTAACAAACATTAAAGCCCCTGACTTTCTTGTGAAAATCTAACAGGCAGTCAGCACCTGCTATTGAGGCTCTTTCTTGAGCAGAAACTCCTGTTTAAGGTGGCAAAAGAAAGTAAACGCAGCCGATACCCTGCTGGCCCTAATAACATACAGGAAAAAAAAAGATTTCATGTCTTCTTTCTATTTTTTAGGCATGTCTATGAAATAGACATAGCTAACATGCCAACAGTGCCAACATTGCGTGGCTGAGTTGAGACGTCATTGCCTGAATCAACAAAGATAACTTATAGAACAGGAAGTTGGTCCAGAACAGTGGTTTCCTACGTGTGGGTTATGGAACCTGGGAATCCAAGGAATTTCTGCATGAGGACTATGAATCCATATGCACTTAATCACAATGCACAGACTCAATGAATAAAGATATCTTTATCTATCTTTCACCTATCTATGATGTATCTATCTGTCTATCATCATCATCATCTATCTATCTGGTCATGAGCGTGGGCTCTTAAGCCATATTGCCAGGTTAAAATTCTAATTTTTTTATTTTTTTAAGTTTTTCTTTATTGCATTATAGGTTTTGGGGTACATGTGAAGAACATGCAAGATTGTTGCATAGGTACACACGTGGCAGTGTGATTTGCTGCCTTCCTCCCCTTCACCTATATCTGGCATTTCTCCCCATGCTATCTCTCCCCAACTCCCCACCCCTGCTGTCCCTCCCCTATTCCTCCCAACAGACCCCAGTGTGTAGTGCTCCCCTCCCTGTGTCCATGTGTTCTCATTGTTCAACACCCGCCTATGAGTGAGAACATGTGGTATTTCATTTTCTGTTCTTGTGTCAGTTTGCTGAGAATGATGTTCTCCAGGTTCATCCATGTCCCTACAAAGGACATGAACTCATCATTTTTGATTGTTGCATAATACTCCATGGTGTATATGTGCCACATTTTCCCTGTCCAGTCTATCATCGCTGGGCAGTTGGGTTGATTCCAGGTCTTTGCTATTGTAAACAGTGCTGCAATGAACATTCATGCATGTGTCCTTATAGTAGAATGATTTATAATCCTTTGGATAGCAACTGTGTGCCCTTGGACAAGGTACTTAACCTCTTCATGGTTTAATTTCCTTATTCTTAACTGCATAGAGTTGGTAGGAGGAAGAAAATAGATAAGACATGTTGCATAGTTAACCTTGTATTTGATCCTCAGGGAGAGATTAACGTTTATTATGTACATAAACATCATGAGCAGACAGGCATTTTGCACTTTCATCATTTTGTATTCAATTTTATATGGACCTCACCTGGTTTTAGAGAACTTTGAGAGTGAGAAAGAAGCCAGCAGATTGATTTGGGTTTTCTGCTTCCCTATTTTGGAGAAGGTCACAAAGGCCAACATACTGTATACACCGAGCCTTGATCCTCCTTCTGCCAGCCATGTCCCAAAACACAGAAGTTCCTGCCAAAAGCCTCTCACCCTAGATCCAGCTGCAGGGGCACCTCACAGTACTCAGTCCCTATAACTCATGCACATCCATTTGTTTCATTTTTATACTGCTGCAAAATGAAATATAGATTAAGGCTTCCCACGTCAAATAACAGGTCTAAGTTTGGGCATAGTGAGGACTTTTATGTGTTGAGTATCTGTGTGTCCAGAATCAGAAGCAAGAAGTGAAACTTAGACACACCCTATTCATTTCAGTGAACCCACGTTCCAGATGTGGACAGGCAGAGTATGAGAACTTAGCAGCACACTCCCCCCAGATAATGGATATGAAGCTTGAAGGACTTTTTAAAATATATATATATAAGATTAAAAAATATGTGGAATTCAACTGCGTGTCAACTCGTTCTTCCAGGACGGAATAGAGCTCTTGGTTAATCTTGGTGTTAATGTGTTCCTTCTGAATTCTTGTTCTGCTCTTTTGGGTACCTGTAGTTACGTGCTATGGAAATTAGGGTATGGCTCATTCTTTCTGATGCTGATGTTAATGGTTCGCTTTTTTGGGGGGAGGGTGATGCATGGGCTGGGAAGGTGAGTAGTTTCGTTTACTTTTTAGGCTTTGATGAGCTGGTGTTATCGGACTGCTAAATTTTTGCTGTTACAGCTACCAAAGAACTTCCTTTATTTCAATACTGGACACTTAAGCAAAAGCTTTGGAATGATAAAGCCAACGTTTCAGAAAGCTTTAGAAATGACAGTGTCCTCTCTAACTCCAAAGCTTATATGCTCCGAACTAGGAACAGTACCTCTCAGTGAGCCCTGCACCATCTCCCATCTAAGTGGGAGCTATTTGGACAGTGACCTCAGAGGAATCCTTTAAATAAACTACTTGAGTCATGGTGAAATGACTAACTCTGAGGGACAATTTGATAGCAGGTTCATTGTCCTAGGAAAAAGGAAACCAAAATATTCCCTGGACAAAATCTCAACAAAGTGATAAAGTAGAATATTTCCTTTTCTCTTCCAAGGTTTAGGGATTCAAATATTACCCTCTGACAACATCTCAAAAACTACATCTTCCTTAATTCCTCCTCCTTCTCTTCTCCAATCCTATCCAACAACTTTTCTGCATTCTGTTCTTTCCTGATTATGCTCTCTTCTTCATAACCATGGAGAGGATTGAGATTGTGTAGATAGATTAAACTAGCACAAGATGCTCCTTATCAAATAAAGCATACTATATAGGTTGACAAGAGCCTTAATCCAGTCAAAATTCATATTTCTCCTACAAGTCTTTAATTAATAATGGTAATAAAGAAGGCAGAAGATATATTTATTGACCATCCTTTCCATTCTAGATGCTTTGCAATACATTTTACTTCTTTATCTTATTAAATCTCACAATAGAACCATGACCTGGATCCCGTTATTGTCCCTGTTTTACAGGTAACCTTTAGTCACATAAAGATTAGGAATATTTGAATTCAGAGCTTTAAACACAATCAACTTGTACTTTTCAAAATAACTTGCTTCTCCCTTTAAGGTCTGTCACTAAAACATAGCATGACCTGGGCTCAGTACCTAATCTTCCTCATCAGAAACTTAAATTCCTATTTATGAACTTTTTTAGCCCTATATTTTCTAATTCCATAGAAAGCTAGAAGTTTTTGGTTAGATCTTCATGTGGAATGACTTTGCTTTCATTCAAGAGACTTCATTCAGCAGTCTGTGAGGAAAAGCACGGCATGACAGAATCGTGCCTCAAGTGCTTCAGATGTGAAGTGGGTTTCACTGTGCTGTCCCTGTCTTCTTCAGAGTTTTGGTAAAGATAAAACATAATGCTCATGTAAAAGCAATCTCTGCAAATGACAAACCGCTATAGACATCATTAATGCCAAACCACTATTTCATCATTAATAACGATGAAAACTCTGTAAATGTCTCATTATTAATATCAGATACCGGAAGAAGGTCCAACCTTGACCTAGAGCCAAAAAACAGAAGTTAGTCGAAGGAATCCTGGAGAAAGGTTCTGCTTTGTATTTAAAGGAGAAAGGGTGACTGTGCTGGAAAATTATAACACTAAAAGTAAACAAAAGCTAGGAAGTAAAATAAAATAAACTATATGGCCTAGATCACTGTAAGTAATGGTTTAATGTCTGCCTTCCTGTGTCTGAGCCAGAGTAGGGCACAGTAGAGAAAAAGGAGTCTCTGAAAATGTTTCCCATTTGGCTGCTCAAATAGCGGATCATCAGTGAATCAGATGAAAATTTGTGGATTTGTGGACTAACCGATCAGCAGGAAATTAAATAAGGAAAGTGTTGGTAGCTCTGGTGAATCTCAAAAGAATTTCGGCAGTTGCTAGCCGTGCTCCTGAACATGCATCGTATGACTGAGAGTTTGACTTTGCGGTTAGATTTTATGTGTCTGAACCCCAAGTTAGTTATATGATAGGTGGCACCCTAAGACAAGTCGCTTAACCTCACTAACATTCAGTTTTCCTATTTATGAAATATAGTGATGGCACCTACTTTGTAGAATTATTGTGACAAGTAAATAAAATATCAGATTTATTTAGCATAACACCTGGCATATGTTTGTTATTTAGTCATTAGTTGCTGCTGTTTTATTCTGCTCTCCCTTGCACCCCACTTTTCTAAGTTGTAAACTAAATAGTTGTACACTGATTGACAGATTAAGAAAGGCTTGTGACTGTGCCAGACCTATGCCTCTCTCTCACCAGATACATGTGGAGGTGGGATAGGGAGTAGAATAAGGGGGTAAATATTAAATTGCCCAGTCTGGCACCATCCTGAATATTATCTCTGAAGAAAGAAGCAAAACCAGGCACAGCTGATGGGTTAACCAGATATGGTACAGTAAACATTTCCTTCTGCTTTTTGGTTTTAAGCCTATATTTGAAGCCCTAGACCTCTCCAGTACAGTCAGTACCAGGAGCCCATAAAGAAGATGGCTCCTCTCATGGAATCCCCTACTCTATTGTGTGTAGCCTTACTGCTTTTCGGTAAGTGGAGATTCGATTACCACTTCTGGAGAGGCCCAAATGAATGTGGGGAGCAGCTGAGGTAGAAACCTTCACTGTTTGGGTGGTGACTTTTTCTAGGACATGTGCAAACTATGGGGCATTTCCCAGGGACTCTGTAGTGGAGGCAAACTAGAAAGCAGAGGCAAGTGGGCTGAGCAACACCTACGGAGGGAGCCGGACTCAAAGCTTGGTTCCTTGCATTTGCCCTGGCATCTTTCAGAGTGCAAATTTCCTATCAAGGAAATGGGGATAGAGGAGCTCTCTCTTCCACTGATTCTGATTCCTGAAAAGATGGTTGGTTCTTAAAATTCCGTGGAGGTAGATCTCATCCCCACACCCAGATTCTAGTTTTCTGGAGATACAGAAGACTGATGGACACTAACGTATCCTCTCCGACTTTTGCAGCTCCAGATGGCGTGTTAGCTGGTGAGTCCTCTGTTCTTCTTCCCTTGGTGTTTCAACATGTCTGGGCATCGCTCTCTTCTCACTATTTTTTTTTCTCATCCCAACACTTCTGCTTTCTAACGAGCATGAATCTGTTCCTTGGCCAGCCTACTTTCCGTCTCCACTTTGCCTTGTCTTTCTTCTTTTCCCTGATTTGTTGCATTCTCTCAAGTCACTCCTCTGTTTCAGTCAACAACCATGTCTGTTGCACACACACACATCTCCTCTCCTCTCCTAGACACTTTCACATAATCTCACCCAATAGTTACATTATTATTATTATTGCCATTTATGATTGAGGATGCTTAACCTCAGTGATGGTTACATGGCTAAGGAACTGGGTTCCAACATAAGTTTCCTGGATCCAAGTCCAGTTCTCTTTTGACCATGTCGTCCTTTTGTTATCACCATGTATCTACTTCTTTGGTCTCTGTTCAAATTTGCACTATATCCCCTTGTCCCAGGAAGCCATTCAAGACTGATTCTCTTAGTGATTCTCACTACTTTCCAGAACTGATATATATTTTTCACTCTGTATATACTTACAATTAAATAGAAATATTTAGAGTTTGGAAAACCTTATATTTCATCTAGTCCAATAACTTTATTCATCCATAATTCACTCATTCATTCACACAATAAATATTTAATGTAGCAGTGGTTGAACATGGCAGATAGTGTTTCTACCTGAAAAGAGATTGCAGTCCTCGTTTACAGATACTAAATTGAAATTAACAGAAGTAGAGTGAGTCAGCTCAAATCACATAGTCAATTGGTTTCTTTGTTTTTACATCTCTTGCATATGTGTCCTGTCTTTCTTCCTATGTTGAGCATTCCCTGGGGCCACACTACTGTTTTCTCAGTTCTTTAATCCTTCTCTTAAAAATCAAAACAGGGTCCTATCACCAACAGTACAAGGACAGACTGACCACTGGTTGTCTGAATACTACTACATTTGTACTTTTAAGCCTGGACAGTTTTCAATGACTTTTTCTCTCTATATCTCTTCATATTTTTATCTTATTGAAGCCCTTCAGAAACCTACGGTCTCCTTGAACCCTCCATGGAATAGGATATTTAAAGGAGAGAATGTGACTCTTACATGTAAGGGGAACAATCTCTATGAAGTCAATTCCACAAAATGGATCCACAATGGCAGTTTTTTAGATGTGACAACTTCAGGTTTGAATATCGTAAATGCTGACTTTGAGGACAGTGGACAATACAAATGTCAGAGTCCAAAATCTAATGAGAGCGAACCGGTGTACCTGGGAGTCTTCAGTGGTAAGTGCCAGGGATATGGAAATGAGGAATGGCCCATCTAAAGATGGGGAAAAACAACTTATTCCAAAGGTTAGGACACCAGAGTGGGATTCAAGGCCTCTCACTTAGGACCCCTGCATCTCTCTTCTTCTACCCACTTTCCTTTTGATTACCCATATGCCTTCTTTCAATATTTTAGTCATCTCTCAATACTGTCCCTCCACCCTATTTTCCTCTATCTTTTCTGCCTAGATTCAGGTATATATTATGTGGTCAAACAGCATGACATATATGTGAACATTTCAAAAAGCTGTATATATATCTGGAATAGCATCAAAATGTTTAACTTAAAGTTTTGCTCTGCATAATTCATATGCCATGACCGGAATATGAGGTTGTATTCTTCGTTATGAAACATACCTGGATACATTCCTCATGTCCTCTAGTGTTACTTAAGAACATATTTTGGCTGGGCGTGGTGGCTCACGCCTATAATCCCAGCACTTAGGGAGGCCAAGGCGGGTGGATCATGAGGTCAAGAGATCGAGACCATCCTGGTCAACAAGGTGAAGCCCCGTCTCTACTAAAAATACAAAAATTAGCTGGGCATGGTGGTGCCACCTGTAATCCCAGCTACTCAGGAGGCTGAGGCAGGAGAACTGCCTGAACCAGGAGGCAGAGGTTGCAATGAGCCGAGATGGTGCCATTGCACTCCAGCCTGGGTAACAACAGGGAAACTCCGTCTCAAAAGAAAGAACATATTTCACGCTTGTTTCATCTTTATCACTCTCCTCCTGCCAACAGTTAGTATAGCATGCTTAGGCACATGTGGTTTAATCAGCAAATGTTGAGTAAACAAACTAATTATTTCGAATAGTGACCAGTAGGTCATTTTTAGACTCTATATTATTTTCTCGGGTGAAAAGAGATATTTCAACCTCTCTATGTAAGTTCCAGACACAAACTAAAGCAATGTGGAATAGCTTATTTCTTTGAGTAGGTTCTCGAGAAGTCCAAGGATTGGTTTTAAATTAAATGTGCTTGTTATGCTAGCGATATTTTCTTTCAAAATTCTCCTTTAGTTCATGCTTTTCAATTTTTACAAAAGCATTAACCATAGAATGTGATTCTTGTCTTTTACTGACTCATTACGGACAAATATTTGTTGAGTACCTACCAACAAGTATTGTGTTGCACTGGGAATAGTACACAGAACTAGACAGGGCCCCTGACCTCCTAGAGCATATAGCTATATGGGAAGAGGACATTAAATAAAGAATTACACAAACAATTAAATTGTTCATGTTCTGAAGAAGTTTTTGTGATAACTATAATTAAAACTAGAACTGGGAAGTTTCTATAAGGTAAGAGAGGACAAAATAGATACTCTCCTAAGCCACAATCTCTGAAAAAGACTGTTTATTTCCACCTAACTAACTAGAACTAGCAACAACAGATATGAAAAGAATTCTGGCTTTCAAGCGTTCCATGTACAGACTCAGCAGGGAGGTCTGAGAGGCTCTGTGGCCCCAGACTGACTTTTCAGGAGGAGAAAGGCTTTATCAATATAGAAGACAGGCTCTAAGCACTATTTTGTGCCTTTTAAAAATTCACTTTATGAGCCAAAAAGTGGGTTAATGATAACTTGTAGTTTCTGACACATGATCTACGCATGGCTCCCTCTGATCTATCCATTCATTCATTTACTGTTAAATAAATAACATAATAAATGTTCTTCAGACTGGTTGCTCCTTCAGACCTCTGCTCAGATGGTGATGGAGGGTCAGTCCCTCTTCATCAGGTGCCATGGTTGGAGAAACTGGGATGTGTCCAAGGTGATCTACTACAAAAATGGCGAAGTTCTCAAGTACTGGTATGAGAACCACAATATCTCCATTACAAATGCCACAGTTGAAGACAGTGGCATGTACTACTGTGTGGGCAAAATGTGGCAGCTGGACCATACCTCTGAGCCCCTCAACATTACTGTAATAAAAGGTGAGTTGGTAAAGGAAAGGAAAGACATCCATAGTGGGGAAGGAAGAGAGGACATGTGAGCCTGAGTGGTTGCAGCTTGTAGAAGGGGGGGCACCTGTGATACACTGGAAAGGCTACTAGAATTACAATGAGGAGATATGGGTGATAGTATATATCTAAATGTCTGTTTCTAAGTCCTGACTTGTTAAATGGTGATAGTAATACCTGCTTACACCATGGAATTTTTATGAAGACTAATGTGGTAATATTTGTGAAATGCCTTTGTAAACTGTTAAGTGCTACCCAAGCATAACAGATTGTAACTACTATTTTGATCTCAAAGTCATCTGTTGCTCCTGGGGAGAATACTTATATATTTATCAAATTGGAAAAAAGTTTCAAAGTTGAATGAAAAAAGGATGTAAAGAGCATGAGGAGTTCATTCCAGCATAGGGGGGCTGGGAAAGAAAACCAGCAAGTTAGTAAGCTGTGTGCCTTTGTATTGAGGGAGGAGGGAATGGAATTGATATGGAGAGGGTAGGCAGGTGGACTGCAAACTCTGTATAAGAGGGAACCTTTGAAATATTCTCCTTGCAAGGAAAAAATTAGACTTTTTCTTCACACACTTTGTACATACTAATATCTAAAAAAAAGCATGAGGTCAAAATACAGAATTAAGCCCTAGCAGTTCTCTGTTAACTATTTTGAGACCAAAGTGCTATGTACTTTTATCTAGGATTCCAGTATCTTCATCTGTAAAACACAAGATTTGGTCTAAAGTACATTATAACCATTTGAGAACTTAAAAAAATGTATTGATGATCATGTCTCATCTCTTGAGATTCTGATTTAATTGGTTTGGAGTGCAGCCTGGGTGTCAGTATTTTTCAAAGATCTTTCACAAAATGGAAATGTGTAGCCAATGTTGAGAATCACTGGTCTAGGTGATCTTTAAGTGATTTTTGGCTGTATTACTCTGAGGCTCCATAATTTGAAAATAATCACAAAAATTAGTACAGTATATAAACAGACTAACAGAACCACAAAATAATAGAATTGGAAGGCAATTTAGTGCAATTTCTTCATTTTGTCTAACAAGCATGTAAGAAATGATGATTAGTTAATTGAGTAATAGGCACCGATGACCCCTGCCCTCACTTTATCTCCTTTCCACCCCTAATTTTATGTGAATGCTGGTCTTGTCAGTTCCAAAAGGGGGTGTCTTTCCTATGATCTTCCCCCTTGGGCACACTGGCTACAGTAACTGTTAGATAGGCGTTATGAGGAAGTGCTCAGGACCCTCTATGGCTCCAGGGAGCACCAACAGAGCAACTCAACCTAGTGTTCATCTGAGTGTTTTCTTTGTGCTTCTGGATGCCACCTCATGCTAAAAATGAAGGTCCTTCTCTTAGGGAGGTGAACCTCTGAACCTCATTCTTCAGTTCCCAATATGAATTACGTTTCTCATTGCATCTGTGTTCTACTACAGTTCAACGTGACAAGTACTGGCTACAATTTTTTATACCATTGTTGGTGGCGATTCTGTTTGTTGTGGACACGGGATTATTTATCTCGACTCAGCAGCAGGTCACATTTCTCTTGAAGATTAAGAGAAACAGGAAAGGCTTCAAACTTCTGAGCCCACATCCTAAGCCAAACCCCATAAACAACTGATATAATCACTCAAGAAATATTTGCAACATTATTTTTTTCCAGCATCAGCAATTACTACTTAATTGTTAAACACAGCTTACAATATTCATAGAAATGTCTGTGCTCATGGATTTATAGAAATGCTTCATTAAACTGACTGAAACTGGTTAAGTGGCACGTAACAGAAAGTGCTCAATTAACATTGGTAGAATAAATGAGAGAACGAATAGATTCATTTACTAGCATTTGTAAACGAGAAATTCAATTTCAATAAAATAAAGCCATGTGACAAAATGCTTCTAAGTATTCAAACCTTGCTGATTTGTTTGTTTTCTTCTAAAGGCAAGAACCGTGAAGTTCTAGATTAGAAATGTCCTCTCTTGACTGTTGTAAGTTTGATCCAGGAATGGAAAGACATAGTAGGATGCCAGTGAGTGCTTTCTCTTAAACTTACTGTGTACGAACTTTCAGTTCTTGGCAAAATCAGGGACAATCTCAAGACATTGGTCTCTCAGGATAAAGTAGAGTCCAGGATTCCTCTCTGATTGTTTTGCCCCTCCCAAATTTATATCTTGAACTTACATCTTGTATCTTTATATAGCACCCGAACCAAGCATTTTGGGTAAATTCCAGCAAATAATAATAACCAAAACCCTCAGCTCTGAAAACAGTCCAGGACTGAATAAGATTTTGGGCAAAAAAACTAGACAGTTTTGGTTTATTTTCCCTTTCATTTTTTGTCCTCGTCACATTCATTGGAGGCTCAGTCTTCTATCATGGGATAAATGGAATTAAGTTTCTACCTATGATTTGTTTTTTAATTTTTTGTAGAGGTGGGGTCTTGCTATGGTGCCCAGGCTGGTTGCAAACTCTTAGCCTCAAGCCATCCTCCCACCTCAGCCTCACAAAGTATGGGATTAAAGGTGTAAGCCACTGCACCTGGCCAACTGTCTGCCTACTACAAAGCCATCCATTAGAAAGAGACTAAACCATACAGAAAAAGACATAAATTCAAATCCTGACTCTTCTACTTTACAGATTTGTAATCTGGGAAAATCTTCTTACACATCCATGGTATTTCATTTGTGAAAAAAAATGATAATAATCATCCTTTCCACCTCTTAGAGTTCTGAGAATCAAATAAGAAGCTTATTTGAAAGTTTTTTGTTAATTGCAAAGATATATACAAATTTAGGAACTTTCAGCACCTACATGAGACTAGTTTTTGCCACCACTACCCCCTACCCCCATGAGCCTGCCCACAGAAATATTATACTCAGGGCTTAGTTTTTTTTTACTTAGTATAAAGATTTATACTAAGGAAGGTGGGCAGCATATTGTTAGTGCTGGCCCTGGATTCATGAAAATCAGTGAGAGATCAGAATTCCTGTAGGTTACCTGTGCCTTAGAACAATTAATAGTATGAGGGTGAGTGTCTACGGAGAAACATTGAAATATCCATGAGACCCACAAGTCCCATTTTTTCCAAGGAATGTTTCTGGGCCACAAAAAAGAGGGAAATGACTGAAACGTTTTCCTGTTCTTTTAAAAACTTTGAATAGGGATCTGGTATTACCTTTCTTCAAACTCTCCTACACTTAAAAAAAAAATCATTTCAGAGAGGCAAGAAATGGCCAGATTCCCTGTGAATACCCTTGTCACTTGGCCTCATGTAGTAACTAAGTCTGGCCAATGGAGAGGAGATCTCTCCTACAACAGGCCAGGCAAAGTTTTCCTAGGAGATTCCCTGGTGTCGCTTCAGGATGCTTCTGCTGCCACCTCCACAAGGTCTATCTTAGGTTTTAGCTTTGGGACCAGCCTTTCCACCACACCTTTCTCCCCAATGGTCTACATAGCACATCAGCATTCCAGGCAACAGGCTAAACAGCAATTTACTCCTTTATTTCAGAGAAGGGATTGAGGCCAATGATTCAGAGTTAAAAAATGAGAGATATTTGATATGGATAGAAAGTCCAGGATTAATCAGCTTGAGACACATTTTCTGAGAGATTTTTTAGGTTCTTGAGAATCACAATTCACTTTTATTTCCCCTTTTTCCTCACTGCAAGATTGAGGGGACTATGGACAAAACACAGATTTGGATACTCAAGCTGCTAACTAGCTGTGATTGGGCCAAGTTACTTGCCAGTCTCTGAGATTCTATTTCTTCTTTGTTAAAACTGGGAGTCTGGTGGAGGTGGTCTCGAAGGTACCTTGGAGCCAAGATATTTTTTAATTCATTAATTTAAGTTCATATGTAGCAATTATCCAGGCACTAAGGCTTAGAATACACTCCCTGAGAAGCTCCAGTGTAATTTTTTCTTTCATCCTCCACACATTGGTCTCTTTTTTTGCTGTGCTCTTCTATGTACAGAATCTAAATCCCACATTTGTACCAGACCTACACATTAATCTGTACCCATTTTCTTCTTGATAGTCATTGATCTTGCTCCAGAGGGAATCTGGAACATAGAGTCAGGGCTTGAGTATTTTGTGAACCCCTAAATTATGGCATTTATAAAGATGCCTTCACACATGAAATATTTTCTGCTATCCCAGAGATGGAGTACATATGTCATAAAGATGATTGGAATAGAAATAATTCACTCTAGATTCACCCTTGTTGCCCCTTCTGTCACCTCCTGTCTCTTACCAAATTGGTTAAGACCAGTTCATAGAGCAAAATTTGCTCTCCCATGGATCACTGTTCCAAACTGGTAGACAAGAATCATCATGAACTCACAACAGTTAGGGGCTAATTTTTTGAAAAGCAAGTCAGTACCTCCCCACTGGTGGCCAATGGAAGACAATCCCCTGTGAGCACTCTCAGAGCGGAGACTCAGACAAATGACATATCTTGTCAGCATGTTGGTGAGTTGAGTACTTGCAGACAATTCTGCTCTTTCCCTCTTCTCATTAAATGGGAAATAGTGACAATCCAGAGATGAAAGTGTTACACTGAGGATAGCAGAGGCACCTGCCAGCCTAGGACTCTAGATAATCTCAGAGAGTGGGGCTGTCTTCCTGCTGTAGCTGATCTGCCCAGCTCTGGACAGCTACTTACCAAGCCCAGTGTCTATCTGGAACTTCCTCGACCACTACAACATTCCCACCACAAACCTTTTACCCTATTAATGTGCTCAGCACAACAATCAAACTCACTTATATATTTTACTTATGACAATGACACTCTTCCCCTTCTCGAAAATTGAATGACATAAGTCCACTTTAAGTCTTTCCTGTTATTTTCAATTTTCAAGTATCATTGACAACAGCCAGCAATCTCTCTGCAAAGAAGCAGCAGCAGGCTGCAATGAAATGGAAACTGCTCACAGATAATATTTTGAAGATGAAAGAATGACTTCCTATGGATTCTGAGAAAAGTTCAGATTTTAATTTTTTAACCCGTTTCCAAGAAGATAATCCTGCACTGCTGCCAACTAAATTGAATCACAGTAAATATAGTACAATAAATAGAATAAAATGATTTTAAATTAAAATATAGGGGTTACTGATCTGCCTTTACTTGAATATATCAAGACTGAAAAATTTGAATTCTTCACTTGCATTAATGGCGGTTTTAGAAATGAGATCCTAAAACGTTGCAGGGTGAGGTCCTCAGAAAACAGACACTGAGACAGAGATTTGAACACAGCAGGTTTATTAGCTCTCAGCATCTATACTTGTGAAGAAGTGAAGAAAACAGTACTGGGCAAAAATTAAAACGTTGAAATGTGATGTAGTCGAGCAAAAACCTCTGGAGCTGAGAGAGCCCTTTCTGGTTGTCTTAAGGCCAAGCAATACCCTAAATAGACAAACTACTGGAGGTAGTGTATCCCTAAGAAGGGAGCATGACCTTGGAAGAAGCGGCTGTTTAACAAGCTGGGTGGATTGCCTGAGGTCAGGAGTTCGGGACCAGGCTGGCTCACATGGTGAAACCCTGTTTCTACTAAAAATACAAAAATTAGCCAAGTGTGGTGGCAGGTGCCTGTAATTCCAGCTACTCAGGAGGCTGAGGCAGGAGAATTGTTCAAACCCGGGAGGTGGAGGTTGCAGTGAGCCGAGATCGTGCCACTGCGCTACAGCCTGGGTGACAGAGCGAGACTCCATCTCAAAAAAGAAATAAATAAAATAAAACAAAGACAATTTTGAAGAGGAACTCAACTGACAGCCATTAGTGCAAGGTACTCCCAGCAGCTGGAGGAATGATTGTGTGGATTCTGAAGGAGTGCAATCCAGGTGATGTGCTACAGCATTCACCAAACACAACTTCAGATAGAAGACAGTGTGGCACTGGCCAGCAGACCTTTACCCAGTGGCTGCTAATTACATTAAGCAGAACTACTAAGCATGAACTACTAAGAAATGAATTATATCATTTCTAGAAATCTGGACACTAAAACAAAGATATCTTTTATCCCCAGTCAGACTTCACATGACAATTTTTTGGCAAAGCAAGACATGTTAACTTAAAAAATTTATTTCAAATGAATTGTCCCATTTTCAGCATCCTGCAGACTTTACCATACTATCAGAAGTGATACCTTGCCTCTGCAGGGTGACTCCATCGGATTAGATGGATTCTGGATCCTGGAGGAGTGTATTTGAAAGTCAGGGTACGCATGTTCTTCAGTATAGAAGGCCAGAGTGCAGTAGAAAGATGAGAGACAGAATATCCTTCCTTGCACCAGAACATATATTTTCACTTTCTGTGATGCTCAGACATAAAATGCTGTTTATAACTCAGGTTTAAAGTTGGGAGTATAAAAGAAAAAACTTCTGAAAATTTACCCCTGCAGGCTTAGGAGCTCACTGGAAAAATTTTAAGTCATGCATCAGATTTCTGTTCATTAATAATTCTTTTCAGAAGCTGTAGTTAAAGTACTTATGTTTATAACACTATTACAGAGAGTTTTATGTCAACCTGGCAAAATGAACTATACTTTTGCTGAACCTTTCAACCTCCATCCTTTTAACTCTTGTGTTGAATGTATGAAAAGTGTTAACCTTTTCAGCAAGTTCTTCTTTTCTGTCTGAGTTTTCTGATCTGGGCATCTCAGGAGTATGGACAGTTCAAGTCTGTGTTCTCTGTAGTTGATGCTTTTTGCCTTTCCTACAACTACACTCTTTTTTTTTTTTTTTTTTTTGAGACGGAATTTCGCTCTTGTTACCCAGGCTGGAGTGCAATGGCGTGATCTCGGCTCACCGCAACCTCCGCCTCCTGGGTTCAGGCAATTCTCCTGCCTCAGCCTCCCGAGTAGCTGGGATTACAGGCACGCACCACCGTGCCCAGCTAATTTTTTTGTATGTTTAGTAGAGACAGGGTTTCACCATGTTGACCAGGATGGTCTCGATCTGTTGACCTCGTGATCCACCCGCCTTGGCCTCCCAAAGTGCTGGGATTACAGGCGTGAGCCACCGCGCCCGGCCTACACTCTTTACTACCAGGTCAGTTGGAGCAGTTCCATCAACTTGGAAGGTCTGTCTCTAGCTTTTTTAGGTTTGCTTGTTTTTTTTTTATTTACAAGAAAGCCTTCAATGTTCACAGAAATGCATACATGTGTGTATCTTTTAACTTATTTGCTAAAAATGTGGCATAAATTATTCTGACACCCTTAACAGTCAACTAGAAAATCTTTCTGAAGTGGTTTCTAAACATTTTGCTCATTAGCTTTTTAGAACCCTGCTGGACTTTATGTGTTAATGGAGTTACATAACTTGAAATATTCTCAGGGTATGTGTCGCTGTGTTTATGTGTACGAGAGTGCATCAGGTATGCACAATCCAGGCTTGCATTTTTATCTACATTCATAAGTGTATGCTGAACTATTTTCCAACTGTTCTAGAGCAGAGCGTAGAAGATCATGATAACCTCAAACAGAAACTTCCAATTTTAGCACTCGGTTCAATTTAGTCTAATCTTCCTGATCCAATACATCAGGGCATTGTTGAACGAGCATGAAATATTAACACATATGTATAAACTCAAAGAAAAAGCCTTTACAACCTCTCCTCATTTTGCCCCACAGCCCTGCGCAGAGCATCTTTGACCTCCTTGTTCCTCAGGCTGTACACAACGGGGTTCAGCAGGGGAGTGATGACAGTGTAAGTCACTGAGATGAGTCTGTCCTGTCCCAGGGAACTCTGGGATTTAGGCTTCAGGTAGATGGTGGAGGCGCAGCCATAGTGGATGATGACCACTATGAGATGGGAGGCGCAGGTGGCAAAAGCCTTCTTCCAACCCTCAGCTGAGGCGATCTTAAGAATGGTGGAGATGATGAGGACATAGGAGATAAAGACCAAGCCCATAGGTAGCACGAGGACACAGATGCTGACAACAAAGTTGATGATCTCATTGACAGTGGTGTCTGTGCAGGCCAGCTTCAGCAGGGGTCTCACATCACAGAAGAAGTGGGAGATGACAAAGGCATCACAGAAGGGCAGGCCAAACACAGATGTTACCTGGACAATGGCTATGCCCAGGCCAATCCCCAGTGACCCAGATGCCAACTGGACACAGAGCCTCTTACCCATGATGACGGAATACCGTAGGGGGTTGCAGATGGCCACATAGTGGTCATACCCCATGACTGTGAGAAGGAAGCAGTTGTTGATGGCAAAAGTGAGATAGAAGAAGAGCTGAGTGGCACAGCCTTGGATGGCAATGGGCTGGTAAGGATTCAAGAGACCAGAAAGCATACGGGGAATGATAGCCACCGTGTAGCAGGTCTCAGAGATGGACAGCATACTCAGGAAGAAGTACATGGGTGTGTGGAGATGATGGTCCAGGCAAATAATCGTCACGATGATCACGTTGCCAGAGAGAGTCAGCAGGTACAAAGTTAGAAAGACGGCAAAGAAGGCAAGTCTGTGCTGCCACCTGAAGTTGGAGAAACCTTCAAAAAGGAACTCAGTCACAAAAGTAGAATTTGGCTTTGCCATTGAGGTAGGTCTAGGTGTGAAAGAGCTGGGCAGAGGAAAGAAAGGTGTGATGAGTTAACCATGAAACAGAGCAGGCTGGGCCAAGGCATTCATTGAAGAACATGTCCATCCTGTGAGCAATGCCCTAGAGCTGTTGTTGGCCATTTGCTCAGAATAATCATCTGTGCCCACCTTCTTCTTCAGAAGCATAGAAGGCTACTGTAGGACCGTAGGATTGAGAGCAGAGATAGAGGTCAGAAAGCAGTAACAAACTAAAAGAGGTCTGTAGAAACAGCTCCCTGGTTCTATTTTTTTTTTTTATCATATATGCAGAGGTATATGATCCAGAGGTGTGCTTCCTCTGAAGTGTGATCATATGGAGGTCAGAGGAGCATCCATACTGTTTTCCATAGCGGCTACATTACTTTACCTTCCCAGCAACTGTACACAAGGGTTCTAATTTCTCAACATCCTCACCAACACTTGCTATCTTTTGATAATAGTTGTTTTTTAAATACTGGCCACCCTGTTATGTGGTGAAAACGCATTGTGGTGATAATGCATTGTGGCGATGATTTGCATTTCCCTGATGATTAGTGACGCTGAAAATCTTCTCATGTACCTGAATTAAAATCATAATCTATAGGAGATATTTGCATTTCCATTCATTACAGCACCATTCACAATAGCCAAGTTGTGGAAACAACCCAGGTGTCCACTGACAGATGAATGAATTCAGCCTTAAAAAAAAAAGAACTGTTCTGTTCTTTGCAACAACAGAAATGAACCTGGAGGACGTGAAGTGTTATAAGCCAGTCACAGGAGGACAAATATTGCATGATTCCACTTATATGAGGTATCTAAAATAGTCAAAGTCATAGGAGCAGGTAATAGAATGGTGGTTACTGGGAAACAGGAAAGGGGAATTGGGGGGTTGTTCAATTCATGTAAAATTTCAATTAGGCAAGATGAATTAATTCTAAAGGGCTGCTGTACAGCATAATTCCTATAGTCAACAATATTGTAATATGCACTTAAAAATTTGTTAAGATGACAGCATCTTAACAAATCTCATGTTAAGTGTCTTACCACAAAACAAAACAAAAAACTATGGGACACAAGGAAGTGTTTAAAGGTGACAGATGTGTTTATTACCCTAATTATGATGATGGTTTCATGGGTGTATGTATATTGCCAAGCTCACTAAGTTGTATACATTAAATATATGAAGTATATTATACATCCATCGTACTTCAATAAAACTGTTTAAAAAAAGAAACAAACAACTACCCAGCCATTGAAGAAGTGGGTCGAGGTCCAGGAAGAAGCAGGCAATACATCAAATGTGCCCAGCTCTAGAGTTCCTTCTCAGCACACTCCTGAATTCCCAAAGATCCAATGAGGAATAGTGAAGGATAAAATATGTGAGACTGATATCCTTTTAACACCGTCAGCAGTTTTCAGTGCCAAATGCTCCATGAGAGTCCTGAGTGCTTCTCCTTCCCAGAACCCTAGGTCCCGGTCTTTGTTTATCTAAGCCCTGCATCTAACATTCCCAGTGATGACCATCAAAGAGTAGAAAAGGGAACACTTCTACTGATTTTTTTTTTCTAGAGACCTTGCAACAAATATCTTCTAGAATCATGAAAAATGGTTTGATATAGCACTGCACTATTTAGATTGTCTCCTTGAATTCTAACCATAGGTAGAAAAGCTGGCAAATGCATCTGAGCGTGGGAATAGGTTTTTCTAGTATGAGAGCAAAGACAATATTCATTTAATCAGAGAAGGACAAATCACCCTATTTTCGCTTCAATCATGCATATTCCAAGCTGTGCTGGGGATAGAAATAAGCTGATCCACCTTCTTTTTGTCTTATCTCAAGTAGACCCAGCATGAGAGATTATACTGGAACAGATTAACCTTGCTCCTTAAGCCCACATGTACTCCTAATAAAACTCACCATGTTTAACCATTATGTCCAATCAGAAAGCTGAGGACTGTCCTGATTACCACCCTTCCCTTTTCCACACAAAGACAGTGCCTCCTGAAATTCTCTCTTCCTGTCCCCTCCTTTTCATGCTTTTCACCAACACCCAGCTACTGACTGCCATCACCATCCTCTATGATCACCACAATGGCCTCCCAACGAATCGGTCTCATTTTGGTTGATATTAGTCTTTTTCCCGGATGTTGACATTACACTTTTTTCAAAACCCTGTTCATAGAGCTCTCCTGCATACATTCCTCAATAGCTCCTTGGAATCTTAACCCTAATATTTAACTCATTTGTTAATTGAGTATTTTAATATTTCACACAGTTGCCATGAAAACTAAATGGGTTACTTGTTTGAAGAGTTTGACCTAGGATTTGACATATAGAAAACTCTCAATAAATACCAGTGTTATTAGAAGTCACGGTTATTTCTTTTTTGTTTTCCCCCAATTAGCAAGCTTAAATTTCTAAGACGATCAGGGGTAGGGGTGAAGGGTTTTCAATCTAATATTTCTGGATTTATAAACAAATATGTGATTATTCTAGTCTTAACTTTATAATTGTTATAATTTCCCTTCCAGTTGTTCATATGGACATTTTTATGCTCTTTTAAAATCTTTCTTGAAGTGTGTTGACCAAATCCACGCACTGCTGCATGTATTATCCTAACACAGGTGTGGATTAAATTGAATATAATTTTCAGTTTTGCCTCTAATCCTCTAATCCCTTTCTTGACGATGCCCAATACTTTACTTCTCCCTCGGGTCATAGTAGTTCATCCAACTAATATGTCTAGAAACAATCTGCAGTGACATCTAGATCCCTTGCCTGGGTTGTAATTGATAGTGTGGAGCCCATCATTGTGAAATCACAGTTTCTTTATACTTGCATACAGTAAAATTAGTTCACATTATTTTCAAAATATAATTTCATTTGACCAACTAGAAGATCTTATTCATGTCTGTGGCCTCGAATATTTGCTTCCCTCTTCTCCAGATCATTAGTTAAACCGGTAACACCCCCCAAAAATGCTATCCCAGCTCCATCCAAGAGAATAATCAGTAAAGGGATGTAGAGTGGAATGGGGAAGTTTAAAATGTAGTCAAGGATGGGGTCACTTATCTAAGGTCTAGGAGAGTAGTGAGGAGGGAAAAATGAGAGATAAAAATGTAGAGAGGGTACAGAGAGACCGAAACCTCAAAATTCAGGTAATCTCATTGACTTTGAAATTTGTATTGCCTTTCCTCACTTTCAAATAAATTACAAAAAAATGTGAAACAGTCCTGTTCCTGACCCAATCCCAGATGAGTGTACTGTTTACATTTTTTCTTTGGAGAAGAAAACTTACTTATCCTCTTGTTTCCTGAATTTTAAAAAATCTCCCATACATTTTTATTCTATACATGTACCAAAATACATGTACCCTGTAAATACATACAACTATTATGTATAAATTTTTAAAACAAAATAAGCCAGGCACAGAAAGAAAAATATCATATGTTCTCACTTACATGCAAGAGCTTAAAAAGTTGATCTCATGGAGGTAGAGAAGAGAATGATGGTTACTAGAAGCTGAAAATGGTGAGGTTGTGGATGAAGAGAGGTTGGTTAGCAGGTACAGACAAATAGTTAGATAGAAGGAATCCATTCTGATGCTCGATGGTACAGGAGGCAATAATAATGTGTTTCATATTTCAAAATTTCTAAAAGAGAAGATTAGAAGTGTTCCCAATACAAAGAAATGATACATGTTTGAGGTGATAGACATTCTAATTATTTTGGTTTTATAATTACACATTGTATATATCAAAACAATCACATGTACCATATAAATACACAAAATTATATATTAATAAAGCAAACACTGAACTCTAAACCAAGTCTCCTGTGTATTTCAATTTGCTTAAACTAAAATCGTTGTTGGTTTTGCCAAGCAAAACAATTTCTTCAAGAGTTCAATGTGTAGGGAAGTCCCAAAGTGTAAGTACTGCGCTAGTGCTAAGGAAAAGAAGATGACCCAAGATGGTCTTTTTTCTCATAAAGCTTAGACTCCTGAATGGCCTTTGGTAGAGGATCCAGTTACAGCCTTCCAAGGGCTTTATGACCCCCTTCTCTACATCAGTCTATTCATCTACATTTCCAACTTCTTGGAAATCACATTCTTTCTTATGAGAGTCCATGTTCCCCACTGAGTAGGGTAACAGTATGCACTATAATAAACGTTCCCCATTCCAGCAGTTAAGCAAGCGAAACTTACCACGTAGCCTGTTTCTTGAGTCTTCTAGAGAGTTGTGCTTGTGCCTGAATGATATCCACCACTCTGGAAATTTGACTTCCTGCAATCATAGGTTAAGGATTTTTTTTAACCGATAGTTATACAATGTTTCTCAGATTTTTGTCAATGCCCTTTCTAAAATTATTTAAAACCCATCAGTTACTTTACTAACAATTACTTTATAGAATCACGTTAATGTACTGAAGAGCCTATGAATTTCCTTAGCAGAGGGTCACCAATGTCATACTGAGCAGAGTTATAGTTCTTCCTCCTTTGTTGGCTAATCTTTAGATAGTACCAAGAATGTGATAACTCAAGAAACTTTAGAGAGGAAGGAAATAATGCCTATCTCAGTCTTGCTGTGCCTGATCCCAGTCATGAAGTCACATTAAGTTCCCCCAGATTCTCACAAGCCCATCCCCTGGAAGAATTTCATCTTTGGGTCACAAAGCATTAACTTTGGCTTACAAAGCATTAACTTTGGCTTAGGTGTTTTTTAATAAGGTACAAATTGTCTGTCCCCAATGCTAGATATCTCTGTCTCCAAAACAACACTTACTATTCCCAAGTGATAATGGCAGAAGACACAATACAAACAGCAGAGCGCCTGGAGACCTCATTACTAAGGCAGCTCATTTTCTAATCCTGAGAATTACACTTTGAAGAACAGAGTTGGCTTGGCTCTTAGGGACAGTCTCTGGGATGAAAAAGCTTATTTCCCTTATTAGTGTGGGTCATAGTCCTGCTAACATTCATGTTATTTTTTTTTTGTCCATTTCTCTGGTGCCAAGGGAGGGAAGCTTAAGGCCTATGGAGTAACTCTTCACACATGAGAACATAGAAGCAACAATTAACAAGCAGGGTTTACACATGGAGCCTCATAGAGAGGGCTGACCTTCATAGAGTCTGATGCTAGAAGTAGTTTAAAGTCTCTCAATTCTATTGTATGAGCTTTCATACTTTTAAGCCGATCTTTCTCATCTCTGCACTGCTTGCCACATATCCATTCATTGAGGAGCCCTCAGCTCAGTTTGTCCCAAGGCCTCAGCCTTGCCAGATAACCTTCTGCATATTAAATCCATCTCATTATCCAGAGCCCAAATAGATGGTAATGAGTGTCTATAGTTGAAAGATATGTAAAAGTTGGCACTCAGTTGTCCCACATTTTTAACTAATTATATCTTTGCATTGGTCTTAGGTCGCTAACTCAATTGTCAGCTCCTTAGATATCGAGACTTTTAGTCATCCATCTTTTGTTCTCTCAGTGAACCTAGAACTGCTACTTCTAAAAAAAAAATACTGATTACATGTTATTATATGCTAAGTACTAAACTATGCAATGCACACATATTAACTCATTTAATCCTAACAATGAAGCTACAAGATAGAACAATTGTACTATTTTTTAGATGAAAACAGATGCAGAGATGTCATATAATTTCTCCCAGGACACTGAGCTGATAAATGGGAAACTAGGACTAAAACCAATGAAACCTGGCCTCATAAGTTGGGCTATACTGATAATATTGAATTTCATTTGTATTTGTGTTCAGGGATGGTACTGCAAGTGATAGCAACCTGAAAAAACATGTTGGCAATGATGAAAAAAGCATAAGATTAGTTATTTGGCTTACCCAGGTTTTAGTTCCACAGTTGTGACTAACTTTTCAAGAATTTAGACTGACACTTATCTGGGCCTTGGTGTGTTCATCTATGAGTGATGATATAATACTGTGGTAGTGGTGGCGCTGCTGCTGCTGCTGCTGCGGCTGATCTACCAGATTTTGCCTCCTACTCGGCAGCCTTCACTTCGTTTTGTTACCTCACAATAACATGATAAAGTAGACATATACATCAACACTATTATCCCTATTTTACAAGCGAAGAAACTGAAGACAAGTGAGAGAACTGGAATAAGTGACTCCTTACCAGGATTCTTTTCATTCTGCTACTATTCATATCCCTACAAAATCGCAGGATAGAATTAGTTTTCCTACACCTCTGGAATAATGCTATAATGACCATAATACATGGATGGAGCTACTAAGTCAGTGAATAGTTGAGGAGCCAAGATTCTAGAAAGAAAGAATATATGGAAATGTTAGCTTGACACTCACTTCTTTGCAGTTTCCTTGAGGAATTGTAATTTGTTATTTGTAGTCTTTGGCCAAAGAACTAATAAACTGAGCAGAGTATCTGGAAATTTCCATATGCTTAAGGGTTATACTCTATGTGAAAAGGTAAAGTGGAAATAAATGAACCCCTCACAAAGAATAAAACTTCAAATTAATTTAATTTCTAGTTAAATCAATATGATCTTGCACCTAATTACCTGTCAGGAAGCAAAATAAAATATTCTCTAGAGGAAGATAATATGGAGTATCAATTTGTCTTTATAATGTTTTCATATAGTACAGGACTAGGAGAATTACAGCCCATGAGTCTACTACATGTTTTTGCATAGGCTATAAGGGGTATAATAGTTTTTACTATTTTAAATAATTGAAAACAAATTTAAAAAAATTTTTGTGACGTGTGAAAATTATGTAAAATTCAAATATCAGTAAGCACACACACAAAAAAGCAATTTTTTTGAACCACAACCTCACTCATTCACTTATGTATAATCTATGGCTTTTTTGTGTTACTATGGCAGAATTTAATAGTTGCAACAGGGACTTATGTATGACCCACAAACCCTAAATTATTTATTACCTGGCCCTTTTAAGGAAAATGTGAGGATTTCTGACATAGTGTCCAAAATGTAACAAAAATGCACCAGACATACCAGGATAAAAGACCAAAGATCTAAGACTCAAGAAATTGTTTTTTAAAAAGCACTCAATGAAAAAAAAAAGCCCATAAAATAATTATATTAAAGTTATAAGATACAAATTTAAGATAAATATGACTGTGGCAGACATATTCTAAGGTGACCCACAATGAGTCACGCCCATGTATTCTCTTCCTCTGAATGTGGGCAGAACTGACTTGCCTCTGTTCAGTAGAATATGGCAAAGATGATGATGATGATATGTCTCACTCCTATGTTTACATAACATTATATAAGAATTTATCATAACAGAATGGAGCAAGAATACTTTGTTGCTGGCTTTAAAGAATTAAGCAGCCATATTTTAAGAAAATTTGTAACAGGGTCATGTAGCAAGGAATATAGGCAACATCTAGGAACTAAGAGTAGTTTTAGTTGCCAGCCAGAGAGAAAACACCTCAGTCCTATAACCACAAGGGACTAAATTCTGCTAACAATAACATGAGTTTCGAAATGGATGCCAAACTCCAGGAAGAAACACAGCTCTGCTGTTGCTTTAATTGCTGGTTTGTGAGATTCTGAGCAGAGAACCCAGCTAAGCCATGCCTAGAAGACCTGCCCAATGGAAATTGTGTGGCATTTAAAGCTACTAAATATGTTCATTTGTTATGCAGCAATAAAAAGGACTATAGTTATTATATCAATAAAATAGATGACAAATTTTCAAATCACAGCAGAGAATGAGAAATATTATTTAAAAATAAAGTGAAAACACTAGAAGTATAAAATATAGTAAGTGAAACTAAGAACTTAATACATGTTTTAACACCACATTAGAAATAACTGGAGATAAAATCAGTGAATTGGAAGACATATCAGTAAAAAATATCTAGATTGAAACACAGAGAGAACAAAGTAGTGTAATATGTATAAAAGAGCATAAGAAGCATATAAAACCCTGTTAAAAGGTGTAGCATATGTATAATTAGAGTATCAGATTAATAGAAGAAAGAGAATGTATCAGAAGCAATATACAAAGAAGTAGTGGCCATGAATTTTTCAAACTTCAAGAAAACATCAAGACAAAAATTCAAGAATCACCCTGAGTTACCTACCAACAGTAAAAATACATATTCACTGATACATAAAATGCATGTAGGCATATTAAATAAAACAACAGAAAAAGAAAGATATAAAGAAAAAGTCTTAAAAGGAGTTTGAGTAAAAAGATACATTATTTTCAAGGACTAGCAATAAGACTAGTGATTGATTGCTTAGCAGCAGGAAAATAGAAATTAATGGAAAGATACCTTCAACATATTGAAAGGAAACAAATGCCAAGGTAAAATTCTTTCATCAGGGAAAATATCCTTTCAAAAAGAAGGCAGAAACAGTAATGGTTTTAGAAATGCAAAAAAGAAAGAATTTGTCACAAGCACACCTGAATTAAAAGAAATGTATTAAATGAAAAGGAGTTAGGTAGGTAGAAGAGAAATTCATCCTAGATAGAAACAGAAATTTTAAACATTTTAAAAAACCAGAAAAGATAAAAACATGGGCAAGTACATTAATAATTTATATTGTTCACACTAACAACCATAATGTCTATGTATTTAAAACATTTATAAATTAAAATACATAACAATAAAAACATTAAAACAAAGATCAATTAAAATTTTATACAGTCTTTACATTTTCTTTGAACTATAACGTCTAAAATAATCATTAAGATTATGTATATGTAACAAATTGACAAAAAAAATGAAAAATAAAAACATTTAATCTAAAATAAAGCAAAAAGATGAGAAGGGAGGTATGTAAAAAATAAGAGAAAAAGAAAACAAATCCTAACACAATACATTTAAGTCCAAATGTGTCAGTGATTTCATGATATGTAATGACTGTAAAAGGAATAATAATACAGTTAGTAAACAGAGCTTCAGACTGAATAGGAAAAAATGTTTACAAGAGACGCATATTAATTATCAACATACAGAAAGGTTAAAAAAAGAATGGAAGCTAGTTTTTTGAAATAAATTAATAAAATAGACCACTAACTAAACTAATAAAGAAGAAAGAAGAATCAAATAGATACAATAAAAAAATGAGAAAGGCAATATCCCTCAGAGTATACTATAGACACCTATATGCAAATAAACTAGTAAATCTAGAAGAAATGGATAAATTCCTGGACACATGCACTAACCCAAGACTGAAAAAGGAAAAAGCTGAATCCCTGAATAAACCAATAACAAGTTCTGAAATTGCAGCAGCAATAAATAGCCTATCAACCAGAAAAAAAAAAAAAAAAAAAAAAAGTCCAGGACCAGACAATTTGCAGCTGACTTCTACCAGTGGAACAAAGAGGAATTGGTACCATTTTTTTCTGAAACTATTCCAAACAATTGAAAAGGAGGGAATTTCCTGAACTCATTTTATGAGGCCAGTGTCATCCTGATACCAAAATCTGGCAGAAATACAACAAAAAAACAAAACTTCAGGCCATATCCCTGATGAACATTGAGGCAATAATCCTCAATGAAATTCTGGAAAACTGAATCCAGCAGCACATCAAAAAGCTTATTCACCATGAGAAAGTTGACTTCATCTCTGGGATGCAAGACTGGTTCAACATATGCAAATCAATAAATGTAATTCATCATATAAACAGGACTAAAGACAAAAACCACATGATTATCTCAATAGATGCGGAAAAGGACTTCAATAAAATTCAACATCCCTGCATGTTAAAAACTCTCAATAAACCAGGTATTGATGGAACATACCTCAAAATAATCAGATACATTTATGACAAACCCACAGCCAATATTATACTGAATGGGCAAAAGCTGGAAGCATTCCCCTTGAAAGCCAGCACAAGACAAGCATACCTCTCTCACCATTCCTATTCAACATAGTGTTGGAAGTTCTGTCCAGGGTGAAGTGAAGGACTTCTTCAAGGAGAACTACAAATCGCTGTTCAACAAAATCAGAGAGGACACAAACAAACGTAAAAACATTCCATGCTCATGGATAGGAAGAATCAGTATTGTGAAAATGGCTACACTGTCCAAAGTAATTTATAAATTCAGTGCTATTCCCATTAAATTACCATTGCAATTATTCATAAAATTAGAAAAAACTACTTTAAAATCCATGTGAAAACAAAAAAGAGCCTGTATAGCCAAGAAAATCCTAAGTAAAAAGAACAAACTCAGAAGCGTCACACTACCTGACTTTAAATCAAACTACAAGGGTACAGCAACCAAAACAGCATGATATCAGTACGAAAACAGACACACTGACCAACGGAACAGAATAAATAACTCAGAAATAAGACCACACATCTACAACCATCTGATTTTTGACAAACCTGACAAATACAAGCAATGGGGAAAGGATTCCC